GGCTAATTCTAAACCTTTTTTGCATGAAACGTTTTGTTCTATCAGTTATAATTATTGAGTTATAGAAGATATTTGTTGAAATACTTGAAAATTCTTAAATTTTGGTAGATTAAAATTGCTTGTTGGATATATTATATAGACTAATTCTAAACCTTTTTTATATGAAACGTTTTATTCCATAAGTGATAGTTATTGAGTTATAGAAAACATTGTTGAATTCCTTGACCATGTATAAAATGTTTGTTCTGATCCTTGTTGTCACCTCCACTACAGATATAAAAGTCAATTTGCCGAGAATAACAATAAGCATCTTACACTAACGCTTTATATAGACTCTATCTACAGTTGTTGTAAATCGTAACACAAACCAACAGCATTATGTACTTCATGATTCATCAACATATAGAAAGTGTTGGCTCTAATTTTTTTGCTGCGATGTTATTCGTTTTTTCTTGAGTTCCTTTGCCCATCATTTTTGTTTTGTTGGATAGAATAGCATAATATGTAGCTGCACACGTCAGAATCTGGTGACATAAATACTAAATTTAATTCAATTACACCATATGCGAAAACACTAAACGTGTAGCTTTTTCTATTTTACTAAATTAACTGGAATTAATTAAATGTGTATGTCATAGTTGTGGAACGGATATCCGGCAACTGTCCGGTATCCGGCCTATACGGCCATTTTTTAACCAAATATCCGGCTTTAGCAGGATATAAAAACTGTCGATGTTGCAATTTTCATCGATAACTTGCAAAATTCGCTATAAAATTCATTTGTTGAAGGATCCTTGTGGAAATATCACCAATTATTAATTATAGTATCCTGTTTCTAATGCAACAAGCCGTTTTGAAAAATCGCTTTTAGTTTTTGAGAAATAAATTTTTGAAATGATCGACAATATTTTCGAATTTTGCAGTTTTCGCCGGTTAAGTTTTAAAAATTTGTATACAATCCAGTTCTTGGAATATGAGTATGAACATTTTCCAAAGCGTTAATAAAAGTGTCCTCTTTCTAATGAACCAACCCGTTTTGAAAAATAGCTTTTAGTTTTTGAGAAAACAATATTTGAAGGTTTGATTAAATTTTCGATGTTGCAATTTTCATCGATAACTTTCAAAATTCGCTATAAAATTCATTTCTTGTAGAATCCTTGTGGAAATATCACCAATTATTAATTATATTATCCTCTTTTTAATGCAACAAGCCGTTTTGACAAATCACTCTTGAGGAAATAAAGGCAGAAATAAAGAGATCACAATACAATTAAAAATTAAATAAAATTATTATACAATGTAATCTTAAAGTTAAACTTTAAAGCTGGAACGGGCTGCCGACCGTGGTCCTTCTGCCCATGTTACACTGATTAGTCATCTTTTAGGAATCCACGATTTTCTTGTAAATAGTGTCAAAATTTGAGGATTGAAAAAGAGGAGAAAGGTTTGAGGAGATATTTTTGTAGGCTTTTTGTGCGAGGGGACATATTCGTTGAGTAATGGGAATCATTTGGAATTTTTCATAAAGGATAATAAATTAATTAATTAATAAATTATATTATGTAAGCTTTATGGATTTACACAGTGGACTTACAAAGATTTATACCACAGCTTGATAGAAATTTATTTATTTATTTAATTAGTCTTCAGCTGTGGATTAACTTTTGAACAAGAAGAGATTTTTTGAAGAGTATAAATGCAAATTGTTCATATTTTGAAGTTTATTACTAAGGATACTATGGCTTCCGTTCGTTTTCCACCAGTAATTTTCCTTGTACGACTACTACTATAAGACTCGTTTATTTCCACGCTGTCTGTTTCCATTTCATCGTCTCTTTGTTCTTTACATTTTATTGCAGTCACATTACAAACGTATATTAAACGTGAATATTGACACTACATTGACACTACAATGTTTTTAGACTGACTACCCTGATGCCCTAGTCCAGCGATAAATGGACGAGCATCGAACAAAACAATTTCTGTTTACAATTATTTGTCATTATTATATAAGTTAATTCACGGAACATCTGATAGAGGCAAACAAAGTAAGATTAGGGCATTATAAATCAACATAAACATTAAACATAGTTAATTGAAAAATCTTTTTTATTAAAATAATTATTAAGTGACGACATTTTTTCTTAATTGTTTCTTAAGTTTCCGTCTAATTGGAGTAATGAAAAGATTAGGGTCATGATCGAGTTTTTCTCTTCCCCAAATGAGGTCGGATATCCAACTGAGAATGTAGCCGGCTATAAACACGGACAACAAACCAAAAACGCCGTTATATAAATAAGAAATTCTGTATAGCCAAAGATAATTTATTTCTTCATCTTGTCGAGTATTAAAAGAAGTTTGATTCAAAAATGATACTCCATCGAGTTCTTGTCCACAACCGTCGATTGAAACAGGTAGTTTTGGTGGAGATGGTCTCGGTAAACCAAAACCTGCCCATAAAGCTAACGATAATCCGAGTAATAAAGCAGTTAAACTTCCCTAAAAAATTAAAGAAGTAATAATATTTGAAAATCGTGAAATTTTTTAAATAAACCTTTTGATTGGCTCTCGTTGTAAACATGCCCAAGGAGAAAAATCCTAATAATGGTCCACCGACGACTCCGAAAATCGTTAAAGAAGATTGTAGAACACCGCCGAAATTTTCCGCTAGAAAAGCGACTCCCAAACAAATAAAACCATAACACAACGCGGCTATTTTGGAGAAAATTGCTAATTTTGTTTCTTTTAAATCAGTGTTGTAGAGTTTTTTATAAATTGGCTAAAAAAATAAAAAAAAAAAAAATTGAATAAAAAAAAAAAAATTATAGCAGAGCGTGGTTTCGATCCACGGACCTCTGGGTTATGGGCCCAGCACGCTTCCACTGCGCCACTCTGCTGCACATAAAGTATATCGTCTAAAATAGGACTTTGAAATTATTTGGTAGTTTAATTATAAACATTATACAGTATGTCTCATAATTTACATCAAAGTAAGATACCTTAAAATAATCTTCCATTGTAACTGCAGCTAACGAATTAATTGTTGCTGAAACTGTTGATAAAGCAGCGCTGGCTAAACCAGCAACAAATAAACCGGTTAAACCAGTGATATGACCCATACTATCAATTACGAAATAAGGCATTAACTAAAAATTTAAAAAATGTATTGGTGATTAAAAAAATTAATGGAATAAAATGAATATACTTGGTCATTTAATTCAATTTTTCCTGCTGCAACTGGATCGCAATTGTAAAATCTTGAGTAAATGGCTAATCCGGAGAATGAAGTGCTTAAACTTAGCGCGCTTAAAATAGGCCATTGCACCCATAATGCGGTTTGGGCTGATTTTAAGTCTTTTAAGGTGAGATATCGTTGAACTTGAGTTTGATTTACACCGTATAGTGTTAAAAATGTTATTCCTCCACCTATTATTAAAGTAAACCAAGTGTGTCTTACGGTGGGATCAGGATCAAAACTAAAATAAAAAAATTAGAATTTAATTTAATAAATATACATACATAGAGTAGAGTTGCGATAATGTAAACTTGCGCTTAAGTAAGCAACTCTGTAATGTAAGCACCAAATATTATGTATACACGAAAATGTATCATGCCTTCGTACTTGCTTTCGTCCATGTGCTGAAGTATTGAAATATCAAAGAAAACGTGATTCAATTGATCTCAGAAAGTCGACCATGAACGAGCTGCTCATTGAGACTTGTGCTGTGGTGAATTCGATTTTTACTGCTATCTCAGCACAAAGAAAATGAATCAATTACCAAAATCGAAAGAAAAACGGAAGAAAAGACGGTGATGGATTAGAAGGTGAATACTTGAAAAGAAATCGAGGGCACATAATTTGGTTGTCAGAGAGCTAACAAGTCGTTACACTAAGAATTTGAAAAATTTGCTAAGAATGTCTGAATGCGAGCTTGATTACCTTCTGGAAGGCGTTTCACAAATGATTTCAAACTCAAATACAAATATGAGACAAGCAGTAAACGCTAAAACAAGTTTGATTATATCGGTTATTGCTGAATTAATGGGCGAATGAAATAATACATCAGCTCAAACCAGAAAATTCTTGGCTTATAACTGTCATCGTAAGAACACCGCAGGTTTTTAAATTTTGAAATAACATCTTTGAGTCCAAATCCAGAAATATTGATCGCGTTAGAAATTTTCATCTGCTGCCATTCTCACTTCTCGGTTTCTGTACTTTTCAATAGTTGCATCATACAATAGTGGTTCACTAGCATACAGTGCGAGAAACCACGTGGTCTCATTAGGCTTGTTTTGGTTTAAGAGTATACGTATAATACGCAATATATATGCGCAGAAAAGTTCAGAACTAAGAACTCTTGAAGCAATTGCCTATTGTCTTGTAATTTACTAACAAGTCTTTTCATTGTATTACTGGTTGCCATCTTAATCGATCGATCTCATGACAAAAATCAAACCAGTTTGATCTGCTGCGTAAATTTTTTTCACGCAGAGCATGTTGCTCGATAACGTTCCTCATGCTAGCGTATCACGCTCCATGGGAAGGCGGCTTACTACTCTTTAAACAAAATGCGAAAACAATGCGTAATGTTTTGTCTTGTTATAAATGTGATGGCTGCTGTGTGGTGGTGGAGACGAAAACGTAGGTAGTGAGTTTTGCAAAAAATGGCAAAAACTAAATGTTTATCTCTCCACAAAAATCTAAAATACTAGAAGAATCCTGTGTTAGCTAGAAAGTACAGCATAGTAAAATCAACCGTTTGTTCCATAATAAATAAAAAATCAAAAATATTAGCAGAGCTAGGTCAACCATTAGGGTCGAAGTAGAAAACGTACATTTTCCTTGTCAACGTGAAAGACATGTATCACGTAAATACATGACATTAATGGAAACTTAATGAAACAAAAAACCATACATTTTTTGGTGGCTGATTTTAAAAGTTTCAATGCGTTATGACCTAAGAGTGTTAAAAAACTGTGAAGAAAAATAGTCATCTCAACCTGAACTTGTCCAGCCTTTTAAACGTAAATTGGATAATAAGATTCAAGAACTCAACTTTGCGAAGCCGATGAAACGGGATTACACTAACAACAGTTACTAGACAAAACATACATTTCTCTGGGCAAAAAATCTGCTCCTATTACACTGTGGAACATTTTCGGGGTCATTGTCTGGGGGGTGAGAAATTCAAAGTCAGGATGAAAGTACTTGGCCAGTACAGTAAAACCTCCAAAGGGTTTGACGTTCTCAGGCCAAACTTTTTTTTTATGACCTTTTATATTTCTTTCCTTATCTTGATGTTTGTTTGCTTAGTTTTTCAGTTATAACTCAAGAATCATTGATGATTTCTAATTTATTCTTCAGCAAAGACTAAGGCTTGGCTAAGGCTTAAATAAATAATTTTCATTAATATATCCATGTAAAAAATTAAGTTGGCCAATTTTATGGACTGAAATCTTCAAAAAATAGTCAAATTTCGAAAAAAAGAAAAAAAATTCTATTTGATAAATAACGTCTTTACTCGAGAGTTCTACGAATTGTAACTAAAAAAGAGTATTCTAATATAAGTATATAGTAATATAGTACTATAACAAATACGAATAAATAAAAAAAGTCATATATAAAACAAATATAAGATAAGTTCAAAAGGGATATATATAGACCTGAGTCTTCATGCCCGAAGAGTATTGATTTTATGAAAAATAACAAAAATTAAGGGCAAATTTAGTTTAAAGAAGAACAAAGTTTATATGTTCGTAAACATTGCTCTAGAGTCTAGGCCTTTTCGATGGTGATTGTTGTGGGCTAGTGTCATCGCTATCGCAATCATCGCTGTCATCAGTTTCTAAACTACACATAATGTCAACTTGTGACTCCATTGCTGACCCTACTGCAACTTCTGGAAATTCTTCATCATCAGGATAATCCATGTCTTCGACGACATGTCTACTTCACCAGCAAATTTCCGCAAGTATTGCACTCGGCGACTGTTTTCCTCTGTATCTGATTTGTTTTTTTTATTAAAATGAGTTTGAAAAAAGATCTCATAGATATTACCTAATTTCAAATGGCATAGCAACTTGATGGTATCGTTCGTCTTGTTCATCAGATTCAGTGGCCAATTGTCCGCTGAAGTAGTCCAGATGATGACGTAAATAGTGAATTTTCAAGGACATGTGGACGCCAATTTTCGAGAACGATGTTAACATCCTTGCGACAGAAACATTGTAGTTGCTAGAACGATGTTTTCACAACAAGCCTTCTATTACTTCTTTAATTGCGTTCTAAGCATCCGTATTTCACATTTTATATGGACATAAACATTCAATTTAACGCGAAAAATGGAAGTGTGCAAGCCAAAGTGTGATCTTCCACCAAAATGTTATAGTGAACATAAATTGGATTCCAAATATAGTGTGTAAAACTTCTTACAATCGTTTAATGGATTGGAATAATAGAAGACATGAATCTATGCCATTCGGTATTCCAATGATTTGGACTGCTACACATGTGCCAATAAAGGAGCCGCATTAAGAAAAACGGCAAGAAAATCGAATAATTACGTTGGTGTTGCAAGTGGCCAAAGACCATTGCCTATTCGGGCTACATTCCTGTGCCAAAATGTTTCAGCCCAGATCTATCTTCTGTGATTGCTTCGACTTTTACATCAATATATGATTCAAGTAATGATCCCCCATATGATCCCGAACCATCTGTATCCAATCAGCCTATTTTAATAAATCAAAATCAGCTTGATTCCATTGTTGCTAAATTGAAATTATCACAGCATAAATCAGAACAGCTTGCTTCGTTTTTGAAATCAAACAATCTTTTGGCACCCGGTACGAAAGTCACAGCTTATCGAAGTCGTCAGGCAACACTCCAAAGTTTATTTGTTGTGATGTAGGAAAATTGATGGACGCAATGGAAATAAAATATGAAGCAGATGACTGGAGATTATTTATTGACAGTTCAAAACTCAGTTTAAAAGCGGTTTTGCTACATAAGACCAATGAAAAACCTTCGGTTTCAATCGCCTATAGTACAGAAACGAAAGAAACATATGATGCACTACAACATATTTTAAAAATGGTTAACTACGCTAAACATATGTTATGTGGCGCATATGCTGCGATTTAGAAATTGTAGCATTGCTTTGCGGTCTTCGAAGCAGCTATATAAAATATATGTGCTTTTTGTGCGATTGGGACACAAGATTTACCGGAGGCCAATATGCATGCCACGAATAGAAACATAGGGAGCACAGCAGGTTAGAAGTGGCCAATATTATTCGTGAACCTCTGGTGCCGAAACTTTTCCTAACATATTTCTCATCATTTTCTATCGCAATAAATTAATTTTTTCCATCAGGCGTACTAAATGTGACGCATTCAACAATATTTTGATTGAGACTGAATTGGATGCTTGGAACGCAATTAAAAAAGTAACAGAAGGCTTGTTGGGAAAGCATCGTTCTAGCAACTACAATGTTTCTGTCGCATGGATGTTAACATCGTTCTCGAAAATTGGCGTCCACATGTCCTTGAAAATTCACTATTTACATCATCTGGACTACTTCAGCAGACATTTGGCCACTGAATCTGATGAACAAGGCGAACGCTACCATCAAGTTGCTATGCCATTTGAAATTAGGTAATATCTATGAGATTTTTTTTCAAACTCATTTTAATAAAAAAGCAAATCAGATACAGAGGAAAACAGTCGCTGAGTGCAATACTTGCGGAAATTTGCTGGTGAAGTAGACATGTCTTCGACGACATGGATTATCCTGATGATGAATAATTTCCAGAAGTTGCAGTAGGGTCAGCAATGGAGTCACAAGTTGACATTATGTGTGGCTTAGAAACTGATGACAGCGATGATTGCAATAGCGATGACACTAGCCCATAACAATCACCATCGAAAAGGCCTAGACTCTAGAGCAATGTTTATGAACATATAAACTTTGTTCTTCTTTAAACTAAGTTTGTCCTTAATTTTTGTTAATTTTCTTAAAAAAATACTCTTCGAGCAGGAAGACTCAAGTCTATAGCCCTTTTGGACTTATCTTATATTTGTTTTATATACAGGGTGCCCATTATGTATGGAATATAGTATATATCTTGGTAGGTATCAACTTTATAAAAAAACATTTTATACAAAAGTTGTTTAATATTTTATTTGTCATAATAAGACAGCATTCAATTGTTTTTATTTCAGAAAACAAATGAGCAAGGAATAACACTTGAAGTTTTTTAAATGGCAATGTACCCTTTCGTTAGGCTCATTTGATAGAGATTTTTTTTCTCTTTACGATAACGTAAAATTTTAGTACCCTCATATCAGAAAATTTTTGAAAAAAATGTCAAAATAGTTAGAACTCTCGAGTAAAGACATTATTTTTCAAAGAGAATTTTTTTTTTATTTTCGAGATTTGACAATTTTTTTTAAGATTTCAGTCGATAAAATTAGTCCAACTTAATTTTTTACATGAATATGTTAATGAAAATTATTTATTTAAGCCTTAGCTAAGCCTTAGTCTCTGCTGAAGAATGAAATGAAAAATCATCAATGATTCTTGAGTTATAACTGAAAAACTAAGCAAACAAACATTAAGAAAAGAAATATAAAAGGTCATAAAAAAAAGTTTGGCCTGAGAACGTCAAACCCTTTGGAGGTTTTACTATATGGACCTAGTACTTTCACCCTGACTTAAAATTTTTCACCCCCCAGAATGGCTGTTGCACTGTGTTATGAAAACAGCAAAACAACGCATAACTTTTCTTGGATGCGCAAATGCGTCTGGATCTCATAAATTACGACCTCTAGTAATTGGAAAAGCTAAAACTCCCAGATGTTTCAAAAATTTTAAGAATCCAGTTATTCACACCAACCCCAAAAATGCTTGACGGAAGTTTTTAAACTTATTTTTTGATCATTTCGTTCCAGAGGTATTGTTAGTAGATGTGTCAGTGGAAAAATTATTGCTACGGTTGATCGAAATTTAACTTAAAAGATATTTATGAATGAAAATCTTCCACAAAGGGCGTTAATCCTATTAGGTAATGTTCCTTCACATCCTTCCGAAGAAGAACTTAAAACTAAAGATGGAATGAAATGCGCCATAATGTCACCACCAAATGTAACTGCTTTGATCCAACCAATGGATCAAAACGCATTAAAAATCACGAAACTGTGTTACAGAAACAGTGTATTACGTCTTATTGTGTGTCACATTGAAAAAAATATCAAATAAATTTGCTATGAGAACATTGGCAGCAGCATGGAAGAAATTAAAACCAAGGATTTTACAAAAATGTTAGCATAAAATAAAAAATAATGAAGAGTATTATGCTGAAGATGAATTACTCCTGTCTACTTTGCAGAAAATGTGGATATGAAGCAGAAAACATCGTTAGAGACACTCTTTCACTTCTGCCAGAATTTAACCTGTACATAACATTACATAAATTATAACTCGGGTAGGCAGACCAACCAACGTTGCACCTCGACCTCAAAGATCTATTATACACCGATAGATAACATATCAAATTTCACCATGCAGTCCAATGCTCTTAACGAACATTAATACCTTGCTCTTTGAAAAGTCATTCAGATCCTTAGGAGACATAAACTGCGACTCAAAAATCGAGAATCTGATACGATTAACAGCAGGGCAGTGTCATAAAACAACCTTCTCCTCATTATCCGCACATAGTCGGCATTCAACATCGTCCACTAGGCCCAACAAGTTAAGGTGTGTCTTTAATCGGCACTGCCCAGTAAACACATCCATTAGAACTTTAATGCTGCTGCGAGCATGTCTTAAAATATTTCCGGGTTTGACAGTGGCGATGTTAATAAACAACTTAGCGTGTCTCATTCCAGGAAAACTGGCCCACAGTAGGCGAAGTCTTTCTTCAGCCCACAGTCCAATCCTTTATTTGGCCATCGCAAATTCAACCTATAACTAGTGTACAATTTGATTACACACTTTTTAAAATCAATAGCAATTTGTCCAAATGATTTTTAAAGCAACTACAATTCTAAAGACGTGGACCTATGGTATTTATGAAATTCAAAACAATTCAGGAGAGAATGTTCTTGAAGAAGAAACTGATGTTGAGAAAAACAAAACGATTCCAGAATAGGTACGACCCATAAAATAACCCATGCTGACGCAATTAAGTGTTTAGAAACTGCAATACAAAGGCCGAAAGGAAACTTCGGCGTATTGAATTCCTATAGAAGCTTAATAGAAATATTTTGTTGTAGGGATCAAATACATGTTAGAAATCTTTGACGTCTCGCTCAAAATGACCTTGAAGTTGTGGTTCAAGCGTTATTCAAAGAGGAATTTGAGGAACAAGTGGGGGAAAAAAGTTGAAAGCTTCAGAATCGGAAGAACAAATTATAAAAGAAAGTGACCATAACACTGAATTCGAAATGGAACTAAGTGATAAAGATTGTTCTGATTCAGACAAAGCGGACGATAGTGTTAGTGAGGGTTTAGAAAGCGATAAAGACAAGTACTCAAAAAAACTTAAAAACAAAGTGATACAAAAATCCAGTGGAAAGCAAATTCAGCAAAACTGCTAGTTAATATATTGGAAAAATATTTCCTGGGCGTAGGCAGTGTTCGTGAGACGTTACCAATGAGAGAACTGCGTTCGAAAAACTTTTTATTGGCGACATCATTGAAAATATAGTTGAATGTACCAATTTACAAATAGCAAAGATGCGTATAAAATATAACCTGCCGGGCTAAAGACACAACAAGTACAAAATTTATGACATTTATCGGATTATTACTACTTGCAGGAACTGCGAAGCAAAACCATACACACTTCCTTGAATTGTGGACTGAAGATGGAACCGGCTTAGAAATATTTAGAGCTGGCATAAGTTATGATTTTTATTTTTGCTTGCCGTTCTAAGCTTTGACACCAAAAATACTAAAGCGGATCGCAACATGACTGAAAAGCTGTTATTCGAGTTACAGTGGATCGTTTTGTGGAGAACTGCAATAACAACTACGGTTTGGAAGAAGATGTCAGAATAAACGAGGTGTTAGTGCCTTTTAGAGGTTGATGCAGCTTTCTTCAATATATCCATAGCAAGCCTACAAAGTATGGGTTACAATTATTTGGCAGACATTTTATGTTACAAATTTAGAGCTGTATTGTGCTAATCAGCCAAAAGGGTCGTACAACTAATCAAATAAACCAGCTGACAATGTTCATCGTTTACTTCAAAAAAACCAGAAACATTCGGATTTAGCCGTGCGTCTCTTAAGCAAACTCTTTTTCCAAGCAAAACTTTTCCTTTGCAGAACTACCCAATGCCTGTACTATTAAGCTATGTTGCATTTTATGTGGGACAGTACAAGTACATAGTAGTTTCGTAACTATGGTTACTGCATTCATATATTGCGAGTTATATAAAAATTCCCAAAGCTCGTCGTGACTCTGTACTTCGTTTTTGAAGTACCTATAATGTATTCCTTACTTTAATAAATCTGTTCGTCCACCTTTTTCAGCTATATCCCAAATTTCTTGTAAACCCCCGACATCGATTCCGGCATAAATAATGATGCAAAAAACAGAAGCGAACATTAATAAGGATTGGAAAACATCCGTCATAAGAACAGCTTTCATTCCACCAATCGTTGAATAAAATGTACAAACCAAACCTAAAAATTTTACAAAATCAGAATAATTTAAAAATCTTAAAGTACACCATACTTTACTTTATATTTAGATATATTAGAAAGAATATGAATACAAACAATCTTACCAACCGTCAGAATTGCGGCATACTTTGAAATACCAGTTAAAGCACCTAAAGCTAAAGCTGGGGCGTACAAGACAATCCCCATGTACAAAATCATTTGGAAACTATAACACAACGAAGCTGTCAAACGAGATAATTTCCCAAAACGTTTCTCAAGGTACTAAAAAAATAATTTAGTAAAAATAGATTTCGCTGAATCATTTCTGGTAATTCGAACCTCATAAGCACTTGTTGCTTGCAATTTAAAAAATACCGGTAAATAAATATATGCGGCAATCGGCGTAAATAGGCCATACGATAAGTTGATTACGATAAATTGAAAACCGTAAACGTAATTTTCGCTGGAAACCCCCAATAAAGTTACTGCTGACATGAAAGAAGCCATTAACGAAAAAGCTACCGGTATTATCGACATATTTTTATCCGCCAAAAGATATTCCTAAAATAAAACTTTTTTATTACAATAAATCTTTAAAATTATATTTTTACCTTTGCAGTTTTCTGCTTTCCTCCCGTAAATCTGAAATAAACCCCAATTCCGGCGGAAATCAATAAAACAACACCTAAAATTACATAATCCCAAACCCCTAAACTAACTACTTCAACCATGTTTCAAATTCTTTGATCAAATCGTGTGATTTTACTAGGGTAAGGTTCAACAAATCTCTAGACTCGGATGAGACTAAAATGAGATAATTGTAATTAAAAATAAAGATAAAAGGTTGTTGTTCTATCACTATAATCTTACCACAGCAAATAACGCGATCATTTAGATTAGAAGTAATTAAATAAGTTATGTTGTAACATAAGAATAGGATTTTTTTGGTAATAAAAACTTAATCCTGTTTTAGACATTTATTACAGTAATTTAAATTAATTTAAAATTTAAAGTGAAAAAGTTAAATTTAATAGCGACATCTATACGCAATTATTAAAATCCTTAATTTTTATTGAAACGCCATCTCGTGTCAAACTAATAAATTAAAAAACTTTAATCACAAAAGTGATAATTATAATAATTAGTAATAATTTCTTCACGTTTTTTAACCTTTTTAATGATATGTGTAGGTAATTAGTTCAATTTAAATAATGTTTACCGTAATTATACTCATTTTAACTTCAATACTCTTCAACTACCAAGTGTTTTCATTGAATATTAGTGAAATAAAGGTTTGGGGGCCAGGTTTAGATCCAGAAAATGTTGTTTTACCAACAAGATATGTTTTTATAGAAGCTAATCTAACAAAGTAAGATATTCTCAAGTATTTAGATGATCTTTTCAATATTTTCTTTAATTATTTTCTTAATTTTTAGTGCTGGTGATGCAGATAGTTTTCAATTTGAAATCAATGGATTATCGAGTAATAAACCGTGTAAATTGAGATCTAATATATTAAATAGGAAGGATGGGGTGTTTATATTCAGATATAAACAATATGAGTACTGTGATACACTAAAAATAATCTTAACCTATAAAAATTACCACATCGGGGAATCTCCTTATATTTTTAATAAAGTTCTTTCAGAAGAATGTAATTGCCCTATTTCTATTGATAAATTTTTAAATAATTTTCAATGTGGGAAC